AGTGGGTTTGAACTGCCGAACTTGTGGTTCACAGTCCAGTGCTGATTCACAACAAGAGTTATAGTTTTATTTGGGGCAGGCATGAACCAATCCAAGATGGTTTTCTCACATGTAATCTAGGGATTCAAAAATAGCAATTGTGCAAGACAGAGAGGACTGATCAAGGTAGCACAATGAAGACCACTGTCAGGTCCCCTCCCCCATGATTTTCAGTATCCTTAGTGGGAAAATGGTAAGGAAATAATAAGATCGTTTCTAAGTCTTACATAGAAGGGTATTATGCTACTGTAGTTTCCATGAAGATGAGAATGCTATTTTTAGAGGAATGTAATAATGGGAATGACATAAAAGCTTCCTGGCCTCTATCATGAGATTTAATTGGTAATAAGACTTCTCAATGTCAGAATATCTATATTAAAGAAGGTCACTATTATGGCGCTGTAGGTTAAGCACTGGATTACAAGGTTGGAATGAACCACAAGGTCAGTGGTTCAAGCTTACCAGCCGTTCCTCGGGAACCCTACACACAGTTGCTATGAGTCGGAACCGACTCCAGCACTTAACAACATTACAAGTAGCTCTTAAGAGTCAGTTCTAAAGAGTTAGTTAACTGAAAAAAATATCACAGAAAACATACACTTATCAAGAAGCTTATAATTGGCATCTTTTGTAAAAAAGTCAAATGTACTTTTCATGTCAATATTATAGTATGAAATACTTGAGAAGGGAAACCCTTAAGATTCAAGTTCCCAGATAAAAAATGAAACTGCAAAATGGGATGAAAAGATAAGCGATATTTCTTACTTAGCCAAATGATAGACGTATGAAATGACATCAAAATCCACCTCAGGAAAGTGATAAGAAAGAGAAAAAAAAATTGACTGGGTGATCAAATGTCAGTGCTATATAAATTCCTTCAAATAAGTACGTTTTGGAGTCCTGGGTCAGTGCTTACGATATGCAATGGACTACTAACCACAAGGTCGATAGTTCAAATCCACCAGATGTTCTTTGCAAACCATGTACAGGGTCCCTATGAGTTAAGTGCCAACAACTCAACAGCAATTAACAGCGAAGTAAGTTTTTATTAAAACAACAAAGCAACTCGACAGTACTTAACAACAACAAAATAAGTTTTTATAGTTAAGTTTACAATCATCTGACATAATAGATTATATGGTATGTAAGTCATCTAGCATAAGGGTATTTCTACAAATAAATATAATTCATTTGCATACTACCTATGGCATGAACATAGCTAAACAATCAAGGTCATGATTTGAAAAGAACAGTCTACTGTGGTGGCTTGCGTGTTGCTGTTATTCTGGAAGCTATACCAGCAGGGTCAGCAATCATAGATAGGTTTCAGCTGAACTTCCAGACAAACACTAACAAGGAGGAGCAACAGACTACTTCCACATATTTAGTCACTGAAAACCTTATGATTAACAGTGGAACATTGCCAGTAATAGAATATTGAATATGGAAAAAAGATGAACAATGCCAGTAAGAGAATTCTGAATATTGAAACATGATGAACATCAGAATATAGTCAGATACAGTGCTGGAAGATGAGCTCCTTGTATTGGAAGGCACTCAATACATAACAGGGTAAGAGCAGCCTCCTCAAAGTACAGTTGACCATAATGACTCAAATGGAGTAAAGCCTTCCGGACCTTCATTTGCTGATGGGGCACAACTCAAAATGAAGAGAAACAACTGTAAATATTCTTTAATAATAGGAACATGAAATATAAAAAGTATCAATCTAAGAAAATTCAAAGTTGTCAAAAATGAAACGGGATGTATAAACATTGATAGCCTAGGTATTAACCTAAATGGACTGGTATCGACCATTTTGAATCTGACAATCACATGGTTTACTAGGCTGGGAAAAAGGGGAATGACAAAAAGAACATATCAGATCTGTTTTTAAGTAGAACACTGTAAAAGAATAATAACCATATGCCTACAGGGACGGACGACCAGTTAATACCACTATTATTCAAATTTATGCACCAACCATTAAAGCCAGTGATAATGAAACTGAAGGATTCTATCAAATTCTTCAGTTTGAAATTGATCAAACATGCAATCAAGATGTATGAATAATTACTGGTAATTAGAATACAAAGGTTGTGAACAAAGAGGAAGGTTCTACAGTAGTCGGAAAATATGGCCTTGATTACAGAAACAATGCCGGAGATCGCATAATAGAATA